TAATGTAGCAACTGATCGGCTATATTTAAAAACCAATTTAAAAATGCATCTGGAGTCCAAGCTCAGAATTATGACTCTTGTGTTCCAACCAACACAGCATGCACTCTGGATCTAACTTATCTGATTTTTGGCACAAATTTAGACATTTAGTGGGAAGTGAAAACATACTTCAGTTCCTAGGTAAATAAGAGTTATATTAAGGTGGCTAAGTTGAGCCAATGTAACCAGTTAATCTGGGAAAACACACAGCTTGTTAAAGTGGTAATACTGTTTTTTTTTTTAAAAAAAGTCAAGGTGTGAATACTGATTTCAGATTTTTTTAAAAGAAAAAATTCAAGGGCCTTTCCTTATGAAACCCCCGATTTCATTCTTATCTGTCCCTCCAGAGAAAAGCATTTTTTAATATGCATGATTTTATACTTTTATATAAATACAATGTTTCACTGTTCAGTAAAGCATACATTTCTATAAGTTGTTTTGATAATGTATTTTTGCATGTTTCTGCACTTTATATATATTATACTATACAAATGCTTTGAGGCTATTTCTTTTGTCAGTGTTATATTTTTGAGATTTATACATGTTGCCATAAATAGGTAGATTTAGTTTGTTCATTTTAGCTGCTGCATAGTGTTACATTTTATGAATCTATCAAAATATATCCTTTTAAAATTTAAATATATTGGGGTTTCTACTGTTTTGTTTTCATAAACAATGCTGCAAGTAACATTTTAAAATTTCTTCTTGTGTACGTGTGTTAGAGAGTTTCTCTAAAATATATACATATGAGCAGAATTACTAAGTGTTAGGCAGTGTGCATCTTCACCTTTCCTCGACATGCCAAATCATGCTCCAAAGTGGTTGTTCCAGTTCCATCAGCAGTAAATGAGAATTCCTGTTGTATCTCATCTGGCCAAAAGTAGGTATTTTCAAACTTTAGATATTTGACAATTGTGAAATGATACCTCACTGTTTTAATTTCATTTCCCTTATTCCTTGTAAGGTTAAATATCTTTTTTTTTTTTTTTTTTTTTTTTTTCACATTTTAACATCTCTGAAATCAGAATGCTTCTTAAAATCAATGACATGTTATAATTTAAATTGGCAACATTTTTCCTTTCTTAGTAATACCTAAAATAATAGTGTATCCGGGTCACGAACCAGTGTCCCCTGCATCGGCAGGCGGACTCTCAACCACTGCACCACCAGGGAAGCCCTTAAATATCTTTTCACATATTAAGTGACCAATGGATTTGCTGTTTTGTGAACTGCCCATTTTTCTATTGGGCTATTGATTTCTGTGCATTCTTTACATGTTCTGGATGCTAGTTCTTTGTTAGTTACATGTGTTACAAATATTTTTTCCCAGTCTGTGGCTTGTATTTTCACTATTTGTGCTGTACCTTGTTGTGGAAAAAAAAAAAAGCCTTATTTTTAATATAGTAAATTTATTAATCTTTAAAAAAAAAAGTCAAGGGGTGAGAGATAAAAGAGAAAAAGGCAGAAGTGAACCAAAAAATCTACTGAAGAGTGAATAAAAATATTGCTGCTGATTTACTTGCTTTGTTATTTCTATCTCAATATTACTTCTAGTTTTCAGAACATTTTATATTAATCTTCTGTTTATTTATCTCAACAGTTTCTATGAGTTGTCAGTATTTCTACACACAACTTTCTTGCAGCCACTTCAAAGACTAAAGAATTGTAATATTTCCAGATACTTCCAGAGAAAAGGAATAATGATGTCATTATTACCTGTCATCCAAAACTATATTTGTTCCCTTGGCTTTCAGGAAAAAACAAAATTTTACTTCCTCTTGCATTCATGCTTGAGGTAGTCAGAAGTAATCAAACTCACACATAACAAATATTGGCATAATGAACTAATATATGGGGAAACAGTATTTGAAGTTATTAAGAGCACAGTCATGTCAAAGATGCCTGGATTTGAGCCCTAACTCTGTCAATTAATAGTCATGTGGCCTTGGGTAAATGACTTAACCATTTTATACCTCAATTAACTTATTTATGACACACTGAACATACTATCTGTCTCAATGGGTTGTTTTTAAGATAAAAAGATACAGGGTTCGGCAGATAGACTATAATATTACACATAAGAAAGAAGCTGTTAATATTTACCATAATAGTTATAATAATAATTCAAAAATAGTTTGATAAAATATGTAATAAACTTCATATTAATCAAATCCCAAGTACCTTATTCATCTTTTATAATAAGCACAGACTGTTTAAAGCACAGTGGATTCAGTATCAGCAAGTATTATCTCTTGATCCTGCTGTAACTCTGAGTGACCCTGAGCAATTCTCTTAACCTCTCTGGGCTTATCTTAGATTTATCACTTACAGAATGAATACCTTAAGATCTTGTCTTGACCTTAAGAATTCATGTAGCATTTTAGGGGTAGAACTGAAAGGATGAAGGAATAGGAGTCCCTAGGTCATAACTAATATGAACTTTTATTCTAGGTACTCCTAGAATGGATCCTGTTTGCAGGAAGTAACTCTGAGAATGACCTAGGTGGTTCAAAAAATGAACCAAAATTAGTAAATTCCATAAATAATCAGTCTGGTCCTTCTGCCTTTCATACAAACCACAGGAACAGAAAGAGTCTACCAAGCTCATTGTGAGAGTATTTCTACTGCACATTCATATTGAAGTAAGACATGCACGTAGATAGTGTGATGGAAACTTGTTCCAAGCCTGCTATGTGGAGAATTAGTTTAGGTTTAGATTGAGCCCCTATGTCTGTTTCCTGCAATACTTGTTTTTAAAAAATCTATATACAGTTTCCATTATTAGACACACTCTGAAAAGAGGGAAAGCATTCTCAGAAAAACTACAAAATTATCTCAAATATTTCAGCACTGTTTTGAACTACTATCAAAGCATAGTGAAACGTGATGCTTCATTTATCAGAAAGTAATTTGGTTTCTAAACACTTTCGACTAAACCTTCTCTAGAGAAAATTCAGCTATAGTTGCTAATTGATAACATAGCAAGATCCCTGACTTCTACAGTGTCTGTTTCTACTCATTAACAACACAAGCCAGATTTTAAGTTTAAAAAACTGTGTAAGAGAAAAGAAGTCTGTGAAAGATATGCATCCATGACCCAGTTTGTTTAACTTAATGCTATTTCACTTTACTAGACTTATACAGACCCAAAATAATATATTCTCAATATTTTAAAATACCGATGGGCCAAGGCTCATATAATGTGTGCATAAGTCCTTGGAAGATAATATCTTCCTCTTTAAGTAAGTAAAACTTCAAAGTTAAAAATGATAATCTGCTCTAGTAGTTAAAATCAGTCTTTTAAAATTTTCTCTATAGTATTTCTTTATATACTCCTCTACACAATCACGACTCAAGCTTTTTTTATCAATAATTTTTCCCTTTCTGGAACGCTAATTTCATGAACCATGGGCATTATTAACCTTGGAAAGTAATGATTAGTTTGTTTTTCTCTCATACACAGTGGCATTCTTCAGGATGCAATAGCTGTATATTTAATATCAAATACAATTTATTAAGGTAATTTTCATATTATGAGATTTTCTTTGCTTGATGCTATTCATCAGTACAGTTTCCTCAGAGGTACACTTAGCCATCAGAGGTATACTAAGTAGCATTAATCAGACAGATTCATGACTGTATGTCAAGACTAATTCTGGTAGAAACGATCACTCTGCAGTTTCATGGAAGCAACCAACAACCTCAAAGGAGTTGTCAGATTCTAAGTACTATCTAGGATGAAGACTAGTCTAAACGCCATAAGAATAATGGTGTGGTATGGTCATGGGAGGAAAAATACTCCATGAGATCAAAACCTTTTAAATCAATTTACAATTGTGCCCTGTAGAAGGGATTATGAAGGGAAGCAGACAAGGTCAGGATCCTTTCCAAAACCAGATAAATAGCTGATGGTTAACAGTTATTAACAGCTTGCTATTTTTCTGACACTCTATTGCATGGATTATCCCATTCCATGTTGCCAACAGCTCCCTGTGAAGTGGGTAGTATTATCTTCACATTTTACACATGAAGGAACTAAAGCTTAGGTTAAGCAACCTGCCCAAGGTCGACAGGACCTAGAAAATGGCAGATGGAATTTGAACAAATTAACCAGAGCCAGAAAACCATCTCCAATCTAAATCTCCCAAGAGGAAAAGAATATGACACACTATGACACCAACATAGCTCATTATTAAGTGTATTTAGGCACCCATATCAAGTCAAATACTGCCCTCCGATATTTTGGGGCCTTTAATACCTTAGATAGAAATTTTGTATCTTCTTCATCCCCTGTAGAAAATCAACAACTCAGCGTTTGAGAAAAAGACAAGCTGAATATATTGAGAAGAATTTACACTTGTGTTAATTCAGGAAACTGCACAGCATATTTTATGAAATAATTGTAGCAGCTGTGTTACTATTCCTTTTTACCCGAGAAAAGGCCAACTCATATGCATATGACTACTATTTTTTTTTACTACCTATCCCCAACCCTCACTTCTACTCTACTTACGCTTCAGGCCTCACATTCACGTATATATCATGGCAGAGCTTATTATTTCCTAAAAAAATCAGAAACTCTTTAAAAAAAAAAAGCCAGGTATTTTACCTACATCCAAATGTACCTCACTTTGGATATATAAAAGTTACAATGTGACTTCAAAGTTTTAGGAGTTATTGCCCTAATAAAAAAAGAGAACTCCAAACTTCTATCAGTGACTTTCTCCTACATGTGAATTTTGTCCCCATCATTATCTGAAGGGTTTTCTTTTATTTTTCTTAAGACCCTGTCTTTGGTGGGCACCACTTTCCTGGAGTAGGACAGCACCCTAATTCCTATTGCTGAGGAAAGGAATTTAAAACATTGACTTTGGGCTCAGCTTCAGAATGAGATCTTAGGAGCTGAAGAGCACCCAGATCCACATGGCACCCAAATACATCAAAGTAAAACGACATCTTACCTTAACACCTTGCATACCAGGGGGCCCCATTAATCCAGAAAGACCTTGATCACCCTAAGAACAAAACACAAACAGAGGTTTAATATGAAAGAGAATTGCAAATTATGATTTCCTTGCTGCAGGATTTCATCTTGGACGGCCAGATCTTACTGCACTCATTTCTGATCTCCTCTATCTGGCTCAAGGTCCACCTCGTTTCTAGGACTGTTCGAGACCTTTTCTGAGGCTCCCGGCCCTTATCTCTTCTAGTGCTGATTACCTGGACAGTATTTCCCCACCTCTAAGGCCCTGCTTCTTTTTCTCTGATGTCCTTTTCTCTAGGAATGTCCTTACTTCCCAAATTCTCATCTTTCCCAAAGTTTACCGTGCTTTAAAAATGTAAAGGAATCTACTTAAATATTCTACCAGTGCTTTGTGAGGCAGCTGTGGACAGCTCAGGCCTGCCCTTCTAGGTGAGGACCTGCAGCCCGATGGGACTCCCACGTGGAACCTCATGGCATGGCTGGGGGGTGGGAGGCAGGACTGGGCTCTCGTCATGCACCAGGGAAAGGGGCACTTCCGTTTCTGGGGCTGCAGTGAAAATTTATTGGGAGGACCGTGTGTTTGATTTCACAGACCCAACTTCGCAAATTAGGGCCTTCTGTCCCCACACCCCAACCCCTTCCCCCAAATGTGATGAAGGCCTGCGAACAGGGTAAGAAGGAGAAATTATACCAGTGGGGGGAAGGAGTGTCTGTGGTGGGTAGAATGGACAACGACATAGAGGAGGCTGCGTGAACTGACAAGGATGAAACATGTCAAAGTGGAATGGGGGTATAATCTTAAACCAGTTTACTCGTGGTACACTTGTTCTTCACCTCTGCTCCTTTCCCTCTTCCTGCTGTGACAAAGTTATTGTGCATGAAAATAAGTATGTTCTTTGAAAGAAAAAAAGAGTACTTAGTTAATAACCCTAAGTAAACTCGTTAATGACTGTTTAGGCACTATTTAATTTTCAGTGTATTATCTACTTTAATATGTCATCAAATTAAACAATCGGAAGGGAAAAGGATGTTTCTGATTGACTATAAAGTGCTTTTCCGTATGTTTAATATTTTAAAGTTTTTTTGCTCAGTGTTTTATTAGGATGGCTTCCATTTGTTATAGGATGATGGGTTTATACATATATATACTCTTTTACACTTATTTCTCTGATAGAAGGAAAAGAAAACTGCACTAGGAAACAGGAGACTGGGGGCTCGTCTCCTACTAGCTCTAATCAAGGGTAGATCACTTGATTTCCCTTCAAAGTTTCTCCATCTGAAAAGTGAGAATAATAATATCACACTCGTCTTGTGGGAAAGGAAAAATTACCACTATTTAAAAGTTATCTTCGTTTGCCATTGAGGCCCCACAATAAACACTTAGGTGTGCTCTATGAGAGATGTTACTTACTGGATATTACATGCAGAAGGACTAGAATCTGCATTGCTTTTATTGTTTCATCATTGATTATATATTTATTGTAAAAGTAGCTAAATGTTTAAAAATAAAATTCAACTGTTTCCCAATCCCCCAATACTCACACCAATTTAATGTTTGTATTTTATTTATTTGTATTTATATATTGTATATGTATAAATATCCTGCCTCTTCAGTAAAATTGAACCTAACTATGTAAATATAATTTCTGAGCAATTGTTTTTAAATGTTACCATTTTAAAAATATCTCATTTTGAAAGTTGGATTTCACTTAAAGCTCAATGAAAACATTCTATTAAATCCTATATCTTACCATTTCTCCTATATAGTATTGACCACATTTAGTATACGAGTAACTCAAAAAGTTAAAAAAAAAAAACCCACTGACATACTTCCAAGTCACAACTCGCAGGCTGAATCACCCTGTATTTTATACAGATACTGTACACATACTGAACCACCCTATATTTTGTACAGAGAAGCCACAAGAGAAGATAAAAATAAGCATCTGATAAAATCTGAATGCGTAATTTGGGGAGTTTATTTAAAGCAGTCACCAAAAGAGAGTGGATGTCTAATTTCTAAATTTTAAGAAATCAAATGTTTTATATTTAGAGATTTTTAAAGATGGCATTTTGTTTCTCAGATTGCAGAATTTTTTTCCTTGTAATAATTAAGGGACCAATGAAAATACTGTTTCTAATAATAAACTTCCATTCCTTTTCTAAATTATTTAGATTCAGTGAACTCAGTTCCAACACAGCAATGAAATTCTTACAGTTCTAGATTAAATTTGAGGATTTAATTGCTAGTATAATATCCATTAATGTGATGTAATTTCTCTTATGTTTACAAGAGTTTCTGTAAGCCAATTAAAGGATAAGATTTCAACCCAGTAACCACAAAAATTATTCAGGGATTTTAAAGTTTGTGAATGTACACTACATAAACAAAAACATCCTATAACTGTATCACATTCATCAAGTGCATGTCTAAATAAAGCTTCCCAGATATATACCTAAATACTTGACTTGTATTCATCCTCACTGGAAAACAATATCTTTCTCTTAATAAAGATTTTCACTGCTATCTTTACTTTGAAACATTAGTTTCTTTTTATCTAAATGCGTATGTGTATTTGAGCGCATTATGATAAAATAAAAAGCATACTGTACTGAAAGTCAGAAAACTTAGATACATCATTAATTCATCTACTTGCTATCCACTTAAATTCTATGGATCTTGTTTTCTCAACTGGAAAAAAGATAATGATGACCGCCTCCCTCACTGTTACTGTGGGACTTAAACAAGATAAGTATGTAGAACTATTCTAGAAATAAAGGTGTAAAATGGCATTAGAATTTACAATGGCATTCATACTAACAGCAACATTTTTGAGGTTAGGACCAAAAGTATCTTGTTCTAATTTTTTGCCCCATCTGTTCCTAGTTCACAGGTAGCACAAGGGCATGACAAAGTAGACACTCAAAAAAAATTAATGGTATGATTTAAAGAGAAAAGTTGGGCTGATAATACTGTTTACTTGATTCTTCAAGTATTTCTTCCTTCATTAAAATCCAATAGTTATCTATATATTCTGTCTGAAATCAAGTAAAATCTACATTTAAAAAAGATAAAAATGATTTTTAAAAGCATTTGAAATATATCACCATGATTTTATTTCATGGACAAATAATTACCTTTTCTCCAGAAACAGCATGACCTGGGGAAAAACCTGGATCTCCTTTGGGGCCCTAAATAAAACAGTTATAAAACACTTGATGAAACATAAACTACATATATCATACTTCTTTGGTTGTATGCATTGTCAGATGCTACACACATTATATGGTATTGAATAAAATTACGTATTTGAAATTGAGATGTACAAGGATTATTTACCTTTTTAGTGTATATTTCACTTATCCTTAATTTTAAATGTTGAGAAGATTCCTAGAAATTCCCCAGACATACCTGATTTTTTAATCAATAAAGTTATACTATGATTGAAACATCTGTTTTTTATAGGTAACTCTTGTCACTTTTACTTTTTTAATTAATTTTTATTGGAGTCTAGCTGCTTTACAATGTTGTGTTAGCTTCTACTGCACAGCAAAATGAATCAGCCATACATATACACATATCCCCTCCCTTTTGGATTTCCCTCCCATTTAGGACACCACAGTTCATTAAGTAGAGTTCCCTGTGCTATACAGTATGTTCCCCTCAGTTGTCGATTTTATACATAGTATCAATAGTGTATATGTGTCAAGCCCAATCTCCCAATTCTTCCTACCCCACCCCTTTCCCCCTTCATATTCATACATATCCATATATTTGTAGAAACGTGGATGGACCTAGAGAGTGTCATACAGAGTGAAGTAAGTCAGAAAAAGAAAAGCAAATATCATATATTAACGCATATATGTGGAATCTAGGAAAATGGTATAGATGACCTTATTTGCAAAGCAGAAATAGAGATGCAGACGTAGAGAACAAATGAAACATCCTTCTTCAAGGGAACTACATAAAGGCTCTATTAACTTTTCCATTTTTGTAACATATTGAGTTATAATTCCTATTTTAGCATGGGAAAACTAGTTATTGTTAGTAAAAGAAAACTGCTTATAATAATTCTCAAAATTTTAAATCATTCCAAGTTTAAATATTTTCCAAAATCTTGCAATGTACATGTATTACTTTTATAATAAAATAAAAAACATTCCAGTGTGAGAGAAAAAAAAAAGAATAAATGGAAATTTTTTTTTTTTTTTTTTGCGTTATGCGGGCCTCTCACTCTTGTGCTGTTGTGGCCTCTTCCGTTGCGGAGCACAGGCTCCGGACACGCAGGCCCAGTGGCCATGGCTCACGGGCCCAGCCGCTCCACGGCATGTGGCATCCTCCCAGACCAGGGCAAGAACCGGTGTCCCCTGCATCGGCAGGCGGACTCTCAACCACTGCGCCACCAGGGAAGACCTAAATGAAAAATTTTAAAAATACAATTTCTTGTATAGATAAGTGTCAGGAAGAAGGCAGCAGCTGGGGAAGGGAACTGTGGCCAGCTGGGACACAGAGGGCTCTTTTCTTGGGTGCAGTGGGAGGAACTGTCCCTGAGAAAGTGATCTGACCAGAGAATTGAAAGAGGTAAGGGAGGGAGTTGTAAATATATCTGAAGGGAGATCACTAAAAGTATCCCCAGCAGAGAAAAGAGTAAGTGCAAAGGCCTGAGGTTTGTCTGAGAAACAGCTGGTTGCCCGATGTAACAGGTGCTAAGTGGAGAGAAGCAGGCGTGCACTTCAGAGACAAGAGCGGCCAGAACACAAAAAGAATTATAGAGCCTTATTTGTGGTTTGGCTTTTACTCAGATCTGTCTTCACTTTTAACAAGATACCACTGGCTGTAGTGTTGAAGAGACATTATGGGGGTTCCAAACTCAGAATACATATTGAAGGCAGAGTGGACATAATTTCCAGGATGAGAAGTGAGAGAGACAGATTGGCATCAAGTCCACATACAGTGGGAAAACAACAAAGACGGAAAAGATTGGGGAGAACAGTAGGACTGGATGACAGCTGTAGTTCTCTCTCAGACATGTTAAAGGCAAGGTGGTCTCTTAGATTTCTAAGTGGAGATACTGTGTGTGCTGTTGGATGCTGAGGCTGGATATCAAAAGTCACCAGAATATAAATTGTATCTGAAACCATGGTAAAGGGTGAGACTACTGAGAAAAAGTGTAAATATAGAGAAAAGAAGAGGAAGGAGGATGGTTCACTAAGTATGTTCTAATATTTAGAAACTGGAGGAGGAAAGACAGCAAGAGAGAATGAGGTGACACAGCATGTAAGTGGAAAGGCAAACAAGTTGATTGTGGAGCCTCCAAGTGTAGAGAAGACATTTTCAGAATGAAGGCACAGCCAACTGTGTGTGTCCACTACAGCTGAAAAAATGAGTCATGTGAGGAGAGGCTGCTGGGAGAGATGGAGGTGGTTGGTGACCTTGATAGGTGCCATATCAGTGGAGTGGTTAAGAAGAACACATGAAGGTCGTGGGTGGTAAGACAGGAGCTTTGATTAGCAAGGCAAGTAGAGAAATAAGAGGAGTACACCACATCTCAGGAGAAAGAAGATGTGAGTTCTAAGAGAGGGCTTAGGCTTTTAAAATTTTTTGTCAAGATGGAAACTAATATAGCAAGTTATTTTGTTGATGGGAATGATCTAGGAAAAAAGGGAGAAATTGAGCGTAAGTTGGGAGAAATGCATATTTCTCTTGAGTATGCCATAGGAGATGGGGATCCAGGGTCCAAGCAGAGACATTTCAGTAGGAACAATTAATCTGGTACAACAATTTCAAAGGTAGAATATATGGGTACAGATATTAGGTCACTAGCCTTGGTAATGGGGAAAAAAATGAGAGCTAATTCTCATCTGATTGCTTCTAGTTTCTCGGTGAAATAAAACGTTAGGCTTACAGTTCAAAGTTAGAGGTGGGGAATGGTATGGGAGGGATACTCCTGAAATAGCTCTCAAACTGACGGATGAAAGAAGAAAGACAAAAAGTCCATCATCTTCCCCAGTAAGTCTTTTCATTTTACAAATTAGAAATGAGTCTTCATTGGCAGAGTCCTATATCCAAGCATCAAAAAAAAATGTTTAAGGAAAAGGTGGTTTTCCAGTCTGATCTCTTCCCTTCCATAGCTATCACCACTTCTACCACTAATACAATTTTACATCACTGGTTACAAAATTACGAGACCTGACAAATAGCTTTAGTGATATCTTAATATTTAAGAACTCAACTCTTCATCTAAAAAAAAGATAATCTATTTAGAATTTATGAGAGATTAGAGCTTATCCCTTTATAGAGCGAATCCCTTTATAGAGAAAGAAGAAATAAGGTCCAGAAAAGTTAACTGAATTGGTTAAGACTGCCTAGAAAAGTACTGGTAAATCAGGTCAATTTTCTTTCTCATATCACAACATCTGTTAAATTAAGATCTTATTGATTTTTATATATTTTAATCTATTATAAAGCCTAACTAATTGATTTGAGGCAGCATTTACAACAAATTTAAAAGGAACTTAAGAAATGATAACCCTTGAGAAATTTGAATATAATAAAACTTTTTTTATGGCCAATGTTTTTACTTAGAATTCTCACACTAAAAACTCTTATTTTTTGGTCCTATCTGAATTTTCTATTATATACTAACTTCCTTAATATAATTATCTTTCAGCTTTCTTGACATCATCATCTAATAAGACATTTCATCTTCCACTTTAAAAAAACTGAAAGAGTAGGAGAAAGTAATCAATTAAGCAATAAAAATCAGATGTAAAGACAGACCTTTTTCTTATTCAGAAGCTTTATACATCTTGGCAACATATGTAAAGAGATATATGTCAAATCTTTTTTATTGCCACACAAATATGCTTGAGTTAATTGATTATCTCATATTCTAGAACCAGAAATTTAAGTCAGTATGAAGAAAATGCTTTTAACCTGGCCAGTTGTGTACTGATCCTAGTATAAAATACATGAGAAAGAGATTATTGAACATGCCAAGTTTGCCTGAAATGTCAAGGAAGTAGGGCATACTTTTCTGTATTTAAGGAAAATACTCCAAAATTTCTGTCATTTTCCCTCCTTCTTATGAGGGAAATCATATTTACTTATTTGTTATTATTTATTTATTTATTCTATGATTCCTGACACACTTTTAGCCACACTTGATTGGCCTTTCAAAAACTCCTTGGAATTAAAAATGTTTATAAATTAATCATAATTGACCTTCAATACTGACTTTTACTTACCCCTACATGACTTTTGTTGAAGGAGCTATATATCCTTTTGAGTATGAATAAGAAGAAAAGGAAGTTGCCTACATTTTATTACTCAAGGATTCCAAAAGTCCCATCTATCTTACTGATCTGCTATAGTCTAAAATCCTCATTATCAGAGTAGCTCTTTTGGACTGTTATGGATCTCCAGATGGCTCTCTGTATAAGGAGGGAAACTCCCTAAGGTATTAGACCCATTAAGATGTTCAAACAAATTTAACAGATTGGAGTCCACACAATATAATGGAAAGAGCATTGGGATTTAGAGTGAAAAAACTGAACAAGTCATTTAATCTCTCTAAACCTGAATTTCCTCCTTTGTAAAATGGGAATAATAATAATACCTACTTAGATTAGCTTGAAAGATTTAGGATCAAATCCCCTATAGATTACATAGATGTTAGTAGTTAGTATTAAAAATAACAGTACTAAATACAATCATTAAAATAAATTTTACAATTATGGCCATCTTGAAAAGCAGAGAACACAACTCTTGAGTAAATTACTGACAGTGCAGCAAAATTTTAATGGAAAGAATTTGGAATTAAAAAATTCAGAGTATGAATGAGCTAAATTGGTAGAGTACCATAAAGGAAACACTAAATGATATAATCTTGAGGTAGCACCACTTGAATATTCTTGGCTTTAATATTAGCAATAACTGCACAAGCTCCATAATCTCAATTTTAAGCACTATACACTCTAACCAATATTTCTTATCTTTTTAGCTCACTCTAAGCCTTTATAACTTTAACAATTACTTGACCCACTGCAACTGCTAATATGTGATCCCATCACGTTTTCACTCTGTCATCCCCCACGTGGTCTCACTTCTCATCCCTAGCCAGCCTAAATACCAGTGTCTTATATTCTAATCACTTCCTTGCATACATAAATGACACCATTGCCTGTTTCTC